AGAGCCTGGAAGGTGGGCGGGCGCAGGGAGGTGGGCGGCTCAATGCAGGAGCGCCCCCTACTGGCCCACCTCACGTGGTGGAAATAGCAGTGGGATACGAATACCCAGCTGTTTTCCTGAGGTGGGATCTCTGCACCCGCCACACACACCATACAAAGGACAGCCATTTTTACCTGTGAAATAAGACTGATTTGACGAGTGTGACAACATCCCGACTAGCGTTGTACCCAGCACAAACAATGGCAACGTGGATGGTCTGTGGGAGAAAAGAAACAAAAGAACAAAGATAAAGCCTTTTCCTTGTGCTCTATCATTCATTAAAGAGAAAACATACATGACAGTGCTATTATTTAGTGTGGCGACGGTTAGAGATTGGAGTGGGCGGTTGGCAGCTGTTTGCAGCCCACTCCAGGCAGTTTGTTAAAAACATCTTAATTGAGTTATAACACCATCATCATTCCAAAGTCATTACTGTGCTGAAACTGCATCTGATATCTGAAAGGAACTGCATTTATTACTTAAGAGTATGTGTGTGCATATACTCACATACACACAACACACACACTACCAGTACATATTATTTCCAGCATGCAAACATACAAAGGTATTTTAAATACTACTTAAAACTTCTATATAGAGGGTTATAAATGCATGTGGGTTAGTAGATATGTTCTCAGGGGTTTCATACTATTTAAAAACTAAATATATATTTAGCTTTTAAACAGAGAAGGAGCCAGAATAGAGCAGGGTAGTGAGTAGGATAAAAGTTGTACAGCATCTTCCCACCTTCCTTTTAATCTGAAGCAGAGGTTCAGCAAGTTCTTCAACAAAGATTAGAAGAGAGTGAAAAGAGGTGCTACTGGTTCCCATCATGCATATAATAATTGTTCACTACTGGTAACTTACTGTACGTTCTATTGCGATGCTTAAAGCAAGCCAAGAGCAACCTCCTGCAAGTCCCATATGAGCATCAATTCATTTGGTGAAAATATGTGGGAGGTCATTCTCAGCAGTCACACCTCAGTTCTGGAAGTCTCTCCCCACTACAGCCCATCAGAGCCCAAGCCCAGACACCTTCAGGAAGTGTTACAAGACCTTTTTATTTGGACATGCTTTTAGCAGGCAAGGTTAAATTCTAGGGCACTGCTTGAGGAATCTGTCATTTATTACATGCTGTTCTATTTTAATATTTTATCCGCTTTTAAAATTTATCTTGTTTTTTCTGTGAGCAGCTTTCAGCCTTTTCTGGGGAGGGTGGCATATAAATCTAATATAATAAATAAATGAACTTGGACATTGCTATTCAGTTCCCCTCCTCTGAATGATTTCAGAACGTGCCACTCAGGTTGCTCTGGGAAATTAATTCTTGCAGATGTTGACTTTAGCCTTCATCCTCCCCACGCCCCCTTTTTTCCCCTTTTGCTTAATCAATACGGAAAGGAGGAAGGGCTCACCCTGCTGACCAGAACAAAGCTGTGAAAGATGGAACATCTGTGAACTTGCATACAAACTTAGTTGGTATCCAACTGAACCTTGGTCAGCTGGTTTCTCAGGAACACCGCTCTTATTTTCAACAGAGAGCCCACAAGGCTGAGAACAAATCTGGAATTAAAGGCAGGTTGTGGGCTGCCCGCCACGTTAGGTATAAGACAGATAATCTTTATTATGGCAGAGTTGGGGAATGATGCTGTTAAGGTCCTCGAAGATTTACATTCATACTGAAGTCAGTGGGAATTGGGGGTATGCAGCATTTCTTAGAATCAGACCTTTCATTATGCTTATGCCGTAACCAAAGTAAAGAAGTTTGGATGCAAGATTGCCAGCAATTTAAACTATATGCATAGGTTTGGATTCCTGCACAACACTGACTGCACTCCTCTTATTAGTCTCCTGCCTGGCTGTTTCCCAATCTGTTTCAGGCTTTATAAATATCTAAGGCCTGTGCCTTAACTGTCAACTAAATCATGCTAGCTGACTAATTTTACACACAGTTTAAACAGTGTTCATCTGGTGATCGTAGATCAGGTATCATCATTCTAGCCTGGTTGTATGTGGAATACTGCTTTCAGGAATGGTTCTGCCTGATCTGTCCTGGCCCTAGAAAAAGAGTTTCTACACTTTTCTAGCATGAACCTCCATACTGTCTAACCTACCTTCCCTAATCCAGATAGTGAAAAGCTAGAAAAATATTGTTTCTGATGCCATTCACCATCTACCAGCCTCCTACATTCCCATTCAAACCAGGACACAATAGAGACGGCACTTTTTGCTCTGGTGAATGAGTTCCTTCTGCTGATAGACAAGAGAGTGCACGTGCCTCCTGCTAGACCCTGCCACAGCTTTTGATACTATTGCTTCCTAGGATATTGTGGAGAGTTACTACAGGGGATTGGTTCTCCATTTCTAAAGCCTTCTCTGGCAGAGTGCAAAAAGGCTCAGTCATCTCCCTGTACCTTTTAACATCCATATAAAGCCAGTGAGAAAACTAGAAAGGCAGCAAAGGCAGCAGACTCTGCAGGAAATCAGCTACTCTGTATCTGTTTGAGATTAAAATATAAACTGCACTATCTCCCAGATTTCTCTGTGCCTGTCCAAATTCAGCACTTGGATGAAGAGAAACCAGCTAGAGCCAAATCCCCTGCCAATGGGGGCGATACTAGTAGGAAGCAGGAAGCACTTCAAAGATCTCACCTCCTCTGTAATATTCCACGTTATCAAGGGCATTTGCTCTCTGATTACTAAATTGGTGAGCAGCTTTGGAGTCCTTTAGAATTCCTTATTGCTACTGAACGCCCATTTCCAGCTGGTTACAAGACTGTATGCCATCCTATGAGCCTGCTTAGTAAATTAGGTCACTGTGAACAATGCACTCACAGGTCTGCTCTCTCCCCTGGACCCCAAGTCCCATTCTAATCCTTTGTTTGGCTATTCAGAACCCTCTGTGAGACTGGTCTAGATAAGAGTTCTCTGTCTATAGCCATGGATTCCCATATCACTCTATTCCCTGGGAATAATAAATCTACTTACCAAGCTGCGATGTGTCCGTGAGTGCTAAACAGAGACCTTTCAAGAGAACTGCACTTAGATAATGGAGCTCACTCCACCAGGAGATTAAAATGACTATAGACCTACTTTCAGAATAAGATGTAATTCATTTCTTCAGCATAGGCATTTTTTGTTTTACTTACACATACAAGCAAACAAAAATCCTGTATAAATTAATCAAACTGTTTCTCCTAAGCTAGGGACACACATTCAAAAAGCCTGAGCCTGAATTGATTCAATCATTGCAGATTAATCTAACCTGGATAGGCTGAATTGGTTTGAAACTGGACAGACATTTTCTCTGGACTGAGGAAATTCAAGCACGTGCCTGGAGTGGCTCAAGCTAGAAGGCAGGAGGCACTACAGCAGGAAGCTGAGCTGTGGGGGAAGTGGCCAGGCCCCGGCAGGACTCTCTCATTAGGGAGGTCTGACTGCACAGGTGCAGGCTTTTTCCTGCTGGCTGCTCAAGGGGCAGGAGTGTTGCCAGCCCCCAGCCCTGGGCTAGCATTATGAGGCAAGAGGGGTATGTAGTGCATGCATCTGTTGATGATACGGAGCTTTTCAATCTCCCTCCCTGCTTTGTCATACTGTCTGCAGCAAACTGACAGGTGAGCAAGCCAGCCAGGGGGCTGATAACAGTCTTTATCACCTGAATAGCAAAACAATAGCCTCTCTCCACATTACTTCAAGCTTCTTAAACAGCTTACCTGTTGACCTACTGATTAGCTACAAAAGACCTAAGCGGTCACCATTCTGATTGCCTATCCCAGTGAAATTGGAGAGAGACACACACAGACACCTCTTGCCATTAGCTAGCATACCACATGCTGGCTACAGTCCCTGCTGTGGCAGACAGGAGGAAGGGATTTCTGCTTAAGCAACGAGTGGGGGGTGGGGGGCAGAGAGGGGCACGGGGAAGCCAGCAGACCCTGCAGCATTCATGAGCCACCTGCTACTTTCAGCTATGTAGAAAAAACATTTAAAGCTGCGTCTATATCCGAATCTTTCCAAATGTCTCCAAATCGATTTGGAGGGTTCCGATTCGATTTGGAAAGATTAAAGGGTCCTCTGATTCGATTCAGATTTGGAGATACAGCCATCAAATCAGGCCAAATCTCTGCCAAATCAAATCAGGGACCGAAGCTTCACACAGCCCTAATAGCCAACACATACACTAGTGGAATTTACATTGGAGGAGGTTTACTTCCATTTCCCCCATAGTAATTCCATACCTGACTGGGATAAATTAAGCTGTCTATCCAATCCTTTCTTACAGTAGCATAAAGGCTGATTACACCAGCATTGATGTAAGGTGAAACATTCTCTGCCTCCTAGTCCGTAACAGCAAAGAATGGAGAGGTGCCCTGATGTCATCACAACCACCAGTCATAGAGCTCTCTTTATCTCCATAAACTGCTAAGCTTGCCTTTCCAGTATACCCCTCAAGTCCAACACATAAGCTTACATTATCAACTGAACAGCTATAACAGGGCCTAACATAAAGTGGTATCTGGTCTGGAATATGTTAGCATTGTCACAAAATATTAACTATGATGAAATGAATATCATCGTGTAGATCATATGCTATCTGGGATTTAATATAAATCAAATTTAATTGCATTTTCAAATATTTCATCATCACTAAAACTGTAATTTCGTGACTATAATCAACAACTGAGTCCTAGCACTTTTAACCTCTCACAGGGCCATAAATTTGCTTCATCCTTTTGTATATATTCCCAAGATGTTTGTCCTTTCTCTGTGTCTTTACACCAGCAACATAAAAAGAGAAACATAAGGAGAGTCTGTCAATGCCTCCAAACTGTGGAAAACTGTGTGTGTGCATGCGCGCGTGCAGGTGCAGGCTCAGAAAAAAAATATTGCCCTTACAGGCACACATAGAACTGGCATCTACAGTAATAGGATAAATGATGAGCCCTCCTGGCAAATCTGATAATAAGGAAGTTAAAATTAAACTTCCATTGCTCTCACTGAATCACTATGTGAATTCCTTACAATGAGAAAGGAAAAGCTATCTCATTATCAAAATAGTGTGTGGTGAGATATGGGCATGACAAACACAGCAAGGTTGTATGTTTTATATAACCATTGCCTCCAGCAAGATGCTAAACCTCACTGAGCAAGCAAATTTATTGGTAAAAGACATTATAATCTGGAAGGCCACTTAAACTATTCTCCTTTTCAGCAGCTATTTTCTTGCCCTAAATTGGTTGGCACATTGAATACCCTAGAACTAGGACTCACCTAACCAGAAAAAAACCCAGCCCTGGAAAACTATATTTTACTTTAAAGGGATATATCACATATGTCAACTGAATTGAGAGCAGGTCTAATTTAATTTGAAGAGATAATTAGACCTGTTTTTAATTCCTCAATGCTATTTTCTCAACTTATCTTTCTGTAAAGGAAAAATAAGATAAAAAATGGCTAATAGGTGTCACGTCAAAAATATCAATTTCTTGAACTGGGGAGGTCTATTTTTGACACCTTCCTCAGTTCAGATTGCCACATTTTGAACATAGGCACAATCTAGCTGTACATTTTGCGGATGCAAATTTATGGGTGAATAATACAGAGCATGTGGTTCTGAATTAGATATTAGGCACTTTACTGATAGAAAATACTCTACCCCTCCTCTGGGAGCAGGCCCAGGGGGTTAAGCGCAGCAAAAGCCTGGAGCCCATGAAAGCATGCCTCCCTGACCTCTATGCTCTCACTGGCTGGTGGCTCCACTCCCAGTGAGAAGCCACTGGGGATTAACTGTAGTGACAACACGGACCCTGGGAAAGCATGCTTCCCTGGGTCCCATGCTCTTGCCATGCTAAGCAGTCCTTCCCTGCCCCCCCTTCCCTTCCCCACCAGGAACAAGAGGCTGGAGGGGTGAAGGGGGGGGACATGGCCTCTTCCCCTTCCCCCAGATTCTCCTGGCTAAGGGAGAGCTGACTAGATATGGGGCAAAGGCTTAATCCTCTGAGAAGAGACCCTCATGCCTGGATTGGATTCCCCAGGGTCCTTGCAGCTGGTAGCATGTTTCATGTGAGCTGGGCTCATACCCATTGGGGGTGAGTGGGGGTGCTGGCTTGGAGCCAATACCATCCCCTAGGCAGAAGCACTTGGGAAGATGGAAAGTTTGTTGAGGGTAGGGGGTGGGGAGTTGTGCATCCTGGGATGCTGAATGACTGAAAATTTGTTGCTTTATCTTTATGAAGCATAATAACAATACCCTATCTTGCACTGGGTAGAAGGGCTCAGAGATAATTCTCCCCTGAAGTGGAGTAATTTTAAGATGTTTAGAGATTGCTTAGAATAATTTAACACCTTTAATGTGTGGACGCTCCTGTTTTAAGTACCTTTACAATCATTTAAATGTAACCTGTAACACCACCGTCAATCTAATCGGAGCTGTCCAACTGGTAGCCTACAGGCTGCATCCAGCTCATGAGGGCTTAGCAAGCAGCCCACAGGCTCCTGCTGCTGTGGGGCCTGGGACCTTCAGGAGAGGGCAGCATAGCAGGAGGTGGCTGTGTTGCCTGCATGGGAGAAGAAACGGAGTACCCAGAGGTGACTCAGAAGTTGGACAGCTCCCAGTCAAATAACAACTGACATTTACCCCACAACCCACAAAAGAAAATTAAATTCCAAGCATATCAAAAGGGGGATAAAAACAAGGATTACTTTAAAGCTATTTAAAATTAGTGTGCATGTTCCTTTAAGAGAATTGCACTTTTTTTTTTTTAACCAGCAAAGGCCCTGGGTAAGCCAATCCTGGCCACCATGCTTTTGCTGTGGGTAAGATATTTTGGCTGGCTTTACCTCACACTTTTCCACTGCTGGCTGCTGCCCACACTCGGAGCTGTTTCCTGCCACGATGCCAGCCCGCAGGCTTTCACTGTCACCAGTCCCTTCCTCCATGGAGTAGGTTTTTGAGTGATTCCCACGACGATGTGATGGGCTCCGACTCTGTGCCAAGCTGAGCTGTTTGCGAAGTGCTCGGTTCTCCTCCTCCACTTCCCGCATGCGTACTTCCAAGCTCTCCCGCTCCCGCTGGCTCGAGGCCGTGTAACGAGGACTATGGGGTTGGGACTCGAGCGGAGACAATGAAACTGGCTTTCCATCTGTAGGGCAGAAAGGGATGATTTATGTATTAGAGCAGAGTTAGCATTTTGTTTTATATCAGTAACACAATGCAGAATTTTATTACACAGACTGAGGTTCCGAGTCAAGAAAGCACATAATCATGCATTTAGCTCTACACACATACTGAAGTCATACTGACTTCAAGTCCCATTAACTTCAGGGGAACTTAAACCCATACTTAAAAGATGATCTTATGCTTAATATGTTGTTGCGGGTAGGGATGCTTGCCAGGATGACGCCCTGGTCCGGGAAGACAGTCAAGAATAGAAAGGTTTAATAGAATTACAGTTAGTAGAGAAATATTTACTTTTTTTTAAAAGGCTGCATAACACAAAGTAGATTTGCCATTATCCCAATGTTCCACCCCTCAATAATCACAGAATTTCTAATGTCATATCATGTTGCGCAATATCCCCAAATTATTTTCTATCACTTAGGAATAGAGATTGGATATATATACGACTCACATTCCCAAATCCACTATGACTGAAATTCCCAAATCATACTCTTTAAAACTCCATTTTTTGCTCTGTGTTCTATTTGTCAGTATATATATTGTTAAATTTGACTCAAATTTGAAATTTGGGTTGGATATGGAAAATAAGAGTTTGCCTGCAAAGCACAGAGGAAACTTTCAAGTGTCAAACCACTTCATTTAAATTCTTTTAAAATGAAATATTTCTCTTGGAAAAAGCATTTTCTTTTAAAAACTGACCTACAAGAAAAAATGAGGAGGGAGACCAAGGATTATTTAACCTGAAGAAAACATTTTATTTCAAGTTGAATGAATCAATTTGAGTAGACCCCATTGTTTTTGGACAGCCTCCGCCCTTCCCCTATCCCCCCCAATTTCTGTTTCAGTTTGACCTGAACCATTCCCCCCAACCACCAATTTTTTGATTCAGCTGTCAAATCCAAAAATCCATTATCTGTCCAACTTTACTGCTTCGTATCCATGAACAGGAAGACAGTTATATGAAATTCCACTACCATGGGTGGGCAGGAATGCAGGGTTCACACTGGTGCCCCAGGGCCAGGGTCGTCAGAGGCCCAGGGCACAGCGCCAGGAATGCAGAGCCTGGGCTGGCAGAAGCTCTATGGAGCTGGGCCAGCTCTGCCCCTCTCCCTGCCAGCGGCCTGGCCACATGCAGTCCAGGGGCTGACTGAGACTGTACACCATCGGGGGTGTCAGCCTGCCATGAGCACCCCAAGGCCTTGCCACCTGCTGCTGGTGGAAGGGGGTGTGTACAATGAAGGAGGTGGCCATGGGTGGAGGAGCATGTTTGTAGTGGTGGTCCCACACACACACCCCATCATACACGTTCACCCACACCCCCGTATACACACATCCACACTCACACCCGCTCACACAACACAGCCACACTCTTCCTTCACACATGCCACAACCTCCCCGCCACCCTCCCCCTCACACACTCACAGCCCACCACCAACCCCACACCCATCCATGCACACGTCTCCACAAGCCCCATACACACCCACCCACACCCCCACACCTATCTATCCCCAACAACCCCCCACACACATCCACACCCACACATAGCCCCCCAAAAATCATGCACCCATCCACCCATACTACACCCCACAAAATATAAAAGTAAGATTTCATTTTACGTTATTATGCAATCACCTCTATGTGCACTATGCAAATACATATAAATCAGGACAAAAATATTTTTTGAAATCAAATTAATTTATGTTGTAACAGATGTTTGATTTTTAGAATATAATTTGGGTTTTTTTCAGTTCCAAGATGGCAAACCCCCTTGCCAAAAGGTGTACTTCTGAGGGCAGGGGGAAGGACTTCCACTCGCAAAAGTCAGGGGGCAGACAGCAGGACTTCCAGGTCCAAGATGGCAACTAGGGGGCGGGGCACCTGTCAAGGGGCAGGGCTACCCTTGCAGCCCTTGACAGCTCACCAAAACTTGTTAAATGGCCCTTGAGCCAAAATAATTGCCCACCCCTTTTCTAATCCAACCGCATGCTCAAAGCAAGACTATCCCCAACTAGATCATCCCAGTCAAGGCTTTGTCTAGCTGGTTCTTAAGAACCTCCAAGGATGGAGATTCCACAACCTCTCTGGGTAACCTGTTCCAGTGCTTCACTACCCACCTAATGAGAAAGTTTTTCTTAATATCTAACCTAAACTTTCCTTATTGCAGCTTCAGAATAGGGCTCCTTGTTCTGTCATCTGTCACTCCTGAGAACAGTCTCACTCCATCCTCTTTGGAACCCTGCTTCAGGGAGGTGAAGGTTGCTATTAAATCACCTGAGTCTTCTTTTCTCCAAATTGAATTAGCCTAGTTCCCTCAGCCTCTCCTCGTAAGTCAGATTGGCAAGATTCAATTTTTATTGGTAAATACTGATAAACGTCAATTTCTCCTCACACTCACAGACCGACGAAAAAATATTTTCATTGTTAATAACTGAAATTTGTGGAAAGGGGACGTAAGAAAAATTTTGACTGATGGAGTATACAATGACAGGGGGAGCAGTCCTAGAGAACCGTGTTGACTGTAATTTGGACTGCAACTCCCAGAAACCCCAGGGGACTGGGGACAAAGGAAGAGCAAGTGACAAAGTGGACAAGGGAGATGTGGATGAATGGAGCTGGGACGGATGACAGCTCTGCTGCTTGGCCGGCCACAGTCCTAAGTAGTTATGTTTGTCATGGCGGGTGGTTAAACTGCACTATAATAATAATATACTGTCATTAATAAATTGTCTGCCTCCAACACCCCTAATTTTGCACAATCCTGAAAATTTAAATCAATAAAAATTGATATAAGTGTGTAAAAATATACAACGATATCATCCATCTAAATTATTAAAAAATAAAAATTGAATTCTGCCAAGCCTACTCATAAGTCATGTGCCGCATCTTGCACTAAGAGACTTCTCAGAAACAACTTTCCATTGCTGTGTATTACAAAGGCTGCACTGCTTCCAATCCTTTCACTGTTTGGTCACATTGCCTTTACCACATATTCACCAGATTGTGAGTAGCTTAGAAAACATAAAAGTCATGCAGTTACTTCTTAGATCTCTTCCTTGTTACCTCTTCCTTATTTTCCTCATTTGCTGACTCATATCTATTTTCCTGCTAAAGAAATGTTCACTACCCGCTTTCTTGTACTGTATCTTACTTAAATGAACAGTGCTAAACTTCTTAAACCAAAGTTATGCCAAACTACTTTAAAAATGAAAATCTCATTTCAAACTACACACACACATATACATATGCATACACCCACACGTATACATACATACATACACACGTACATACACACAGATACATATACACTGTATTTACTCAAATCCAGGACAAAGTTTTTTCCCCATTCGAGGTGGGGAAAGAAGCCTTTTGTCTTGAATTCAAATACTGAGATTGTGGGGGTAGATGCAGCTGCTGCTGCTCCAGCTCCAACCCAGGCTCAGGGTCAGAGTTGGAACTGAAGCCACCTGCCCCACACTACCTCTGCCCTGTGCTGCTTCTGCCCCCACCCGCACCCACCACTGCCACTTCTGCAATCGCTGCTGTGTGGCCAGGCAGAGGCCAGAGCCAGCCTATGCTCTGTGCCCCAGGAGCTATGACAGAGGGTAAGTGACAGTGGGGGAGGGGGCAGGCAGTAGGGGGTGGTAAGGAAGCACAGGTGGCAAGAGGGGGCAGGTGCTAAGGGGCACAGGCATCACACAGGCAGACTGCAGTATGTGCTGGGGGTGTAGGCAGCAGAGGTGGAAGGCACCACAGAGGGCACCATGGGGCGGAGGGGGTGGGGGATCACTGTAGCGGGGACACTGAAGTACCAAGTGCTGTTGGGGAAGAGGCAGCAGGAACAAGGTATTGGGGAGGGGGGGCAAGGGGCAGGGATCATGTTACTTGATTACCTCACCACCTACCCTCCCACCACCCGGCTTCCCTGCCACTGCTTTCCCTGCTGCAGCAGTGGGAGAGGTGAGGGGAGGAATTTAAGGTGACCCTCCAGTAATTAGATTTTATACATGGAAAATTATAGCCAATTTTAAATAGTCTATATATAGAATCTAATTACTGGGGGGGGGGAGAGCATCTTAAATTTAAAGTTGAATTAGATTTGGGTAAATATGGTATCTAATATATATAGGAATATAATTTGATTATTTACTTATTCCACATACAGACAGAATACACTTACCCACAAAATGAATATTTTTAAATGTTGATAATTTTGATACATATACCTGACTTTGTAAATATGTCTGATGTTTGTTTATTGCTATTTATACACTGATACACAGTTGAAGTAAACAGATATTTAAGATTTAAAAAATTATTGTTTTGTTAAAGTTGAAAAGTCCACCACGCAGAAGTTAGACATGTCATTAATTCTGGTATTAGAAATACTGTAGTCAGAGATGTAATGGCAGCACAGGATGGCCTATTCAAACTAATTGTAATTAGCTAGTCTTGGAACCAACAGCAGCAAAACCATAGAAATACTGTTTTCAGCATAGGCTGTATAAACCCACCTGGACTGTGGGTACTTAGCAGAGGGTCCATCCCGTGCTGAATCCTGATCCACCCCAGCTTCTGTCTTATTGGTACCTGAGCTGGCTAGACTTCAGGCATCTATGTTGTAATTATATCTCCAATTACTGTGCAGACACAGCCTAAGGTTTCTGAGGCAACCTCAACCTATTTCCTTGTGAATTTAGATTATGACCCAGTGGGCACATCTACATGTGGCTGTACAGTGCCTTCATTAGTGAGCTGTCATTTAGTACTTCCTTTTGGAAGTACTAAAAGATTCTGCAGTAACAGCTCATACTACACTGTGCTAGATGCGCACGGTTATTTTTGGCTGCTACGTTGCCATAGCATTGCACTATAACAGTTTTTGCCAACAGATGCTACAGCGCCGTAGCATCTTGTGTAGACACACCTAGTAGGTACTGATCACATCCTGTTCTTTTTATATAT